GCACAGTGTTTCACATGTTTTTCACATCGTAGACAATTCAATACATTCAATTTATTTAAAGAAGCAATATCGTCGTAATCGGCATCCAATGTTTTAATAATTAATCCATGTCGTATGTCACTATCAAGAATATCAGCTAGTCAGTTACATTTTTTGGGACCTTTAACATAGACGAGTGAAGCCGCGTCGTCATCATTTTCTGCGGTGCCGCAAGTAGCTGTTGTAATCAAATTCAGCATTCCTAGTTTTATTCCAGTATTCCAGCATTCTTCATAGCCATGTTTTTATCATGTGTTAGCAATATATAGTTTTTGATCGTGCTAGTTATTCCAACGTTTCTATTACAATCAATCTCCATACCATTGAGTTCATAGCGAATCTCATCGAACATAAAAGCTACACAATTATTACTCAGATATACTTCTTCTTCATCTATCTTTGTTAACGTTATTTTTCCTTCGACGTAAAGAAAACTTTGACACGGTAGAGTGTACAAGTCCTGCTGTTGTATAGGTATGCGTATCTCATCACTGTGTTCAAATGTTGTGTTCACATACGGATTGTACGTGTGAGTTTCAATCTTGACGATGCGATCGTCAAAGATCGGCTCGCCCCCAACATTTAAAATGTCGCACATATTTTCAAACTTCTCGTACAATAAATCCCAACGATTGTAAAAATTTAACGTTTATCGTACTTAGCTCCTTCCGATTACTGTACGTTGTAGTAGTAATCGTAGCAGGTGTTTGTAATGAAAACCTCGTATCTCGTGTCACTTGATCCGCCTCGTTCAGCACGAGCATGCCGTGTATTACAGTCGTCGGCGTCGTACGTGTAACCTGACAGTTATTTCTTCTCCTCGAAAATCAAGCAATTGTCCTTTCTGATTCACAATGCGTATCGTCAGATCCGTAATGCTCTGCACAATGATCGGAAAATAACTGATCTGTGCCGGTGTTTCCGAAATCTTATATCCAGGTGGCACGTTCGGTGAGAACTCATGTATCGTATGCACACACCGGTTGTTGCTGTACGCACCCGCGGTCACGTTGCATTCTATGCGAATAATGTTTACGTTGATAATATTAATCGGCACGTCTGATACGTACCATTGTAGCGGCTTTAAAATACGAGTTGATGAAAAACCTAACAACGATCCAATGTTGTCAAGTTTGGTAAAATTTATTTGATAGGCGCTGTTTATTTCACTTTTCATTGTGTTGGTGTTTGCACGTAATATTAGTGGAGGGATGTTCTCATCTTTATCTTTGCTTTTTGCATTACGTTGCACTATTGCAGATAATTGTTAATATCCTGTAATTTGTACAACACTTCAGGAATTATAATCTGCTTGTCATCTATATCATAATAAAACTTATTATTCGATGAATTTACGTTCGGTATCGTATGATACGTTTCAAAATCTGGTAGTCCAAGCTCGTAATCACCGTCACTTAAATCAATGGCGGGAAAGTAGCTGACTGCAAGTGTGCTTTTGTCGGTAAGTGTAAACGTCAGTGACATGTTGTCGAATGCGTAATAAAGTCTGATAGCGTACTATTTAAATGAATATTGCTCATCGACCGCTTGAAGAAACCATAAACACAATTGGCCACAATTGCTTTGATTGTAACGTTGATAAGATGTACAGTTATATTCTATTTTGTCTACGACATGTTCTAGATAACGCACCACCTCTTTTGGTGGTTGAAGATTGCCGAAACTATCAAAATATATGATATGTTTTCCTCTCTTCGCATACGCTACCCAGTGAGTACCTGATCCATTTGTATCATCAAAATTGACAATACCACTCTCATTACGACGTACTAATCCTGGAAAAGTATTACGCATGAAAACATCTCTAAAGAAAGGTATGCACATGCGCTTAGTTAGTTGTTCTAACTGCATATTTGTTGTTACACCTGTAGATAATTTTAATGTCTTTTCAGCGTTTTTTTTCTTTGAAAGTCCCCGTCCGTACGGAGTCAGATAAATTCCCCGACCTTCCTTTGCGCAATTATGACGTTGCATTTCTTCTAGCTGCCGCTGTGCAGCTCTCGTATCATTTACCGTTTTTGTAACACTCGTCGCTTCACCAACGAGCGCACCGAGAACACCCAGCAGCGGTAGGACCGGTAACAAACCGCCGCGTTTAGCAATTGGAAGTATTTGCTTCCTGTTTGTTGACTTGCTTTTCTTTTTCAAGCCCATGCCGAGTTTTGTCTTTGCTTTCATAGCCGCCCACACGGCAGTCGCAGCTGCTCTCTCACCGAGACTCGAGTCTGCCGCTGTAATACGATCGCGCGCCTTTGCAGTAAGTGCGTTATCAGCTACGTGTCGAGCAGCGAGTTTGTTGCTTCGCGAATAAGCTACATCGTGTTTACGACAACCCGCGTCCTCTGGATTAATGCCGCGATCGCCTCTAGCTAATCGTTTTTCCAAACGTGTTTNCGGGCCACAAAAATGGTAGCCCGGAATATGTAATTCGACAGGAAGAGCGTTTATCACGCGATTTAACAATCCACAACCTGACATACATTGCAATATACGTTTGACATCAGCTGTCTACTGACGACTGAGTAGACACGCTCGACGCGTCTCTATAAATAGGTGCTCTTTGCTATCGCGAAGCAGTTAAAAACAAACCATGCAGTTCGTGCGACAACCTGTGGCAATTAAAGTAATTAATTTTGAAAACAAGACTCAACAAATGTCCGGCAAGAAAATACGCAAACATGGAATAATGCTACCGGTTACTATACGCGGTATTGTGTGCGGTCCTTCGAACTGCGGCAAGACGAATGTAGTGTTAAGCTTGTTTGAAAGTCCACACGGTGTACTGTGATCAAATTGAAAGGTGAATTTTTTATTTAAATTTCCCGGGTTATTTTAATGGTCGAAATGTTTTATTTTGTGAGTTGGTAGTACTGTTAGTGACATCTGTGCCACACTTCACGTCACAATATTCATTAGTGTTTGAGTTACGCGTCATTTTGTGAGGTGCCAAAAGTAAATTCCGCGATTTTCACCATGTCTGCATTTATTGAGCAAAGAAGTTGCATCAAATTTTGTGCGCGAAACGGAATTTCGACTGCGGGAACGTTGCGGATGCTGCAAAAAGCCTTTGGGGATCAAACTCTGTCTTCAAAGAATGTTTATAAGTGATACAACGCTTTCAAGTCCGGCCGTGAGCGTGTTGAGAAGAATGTGGTGTCGAATCGGCCAAAAACATCGACTGATGAACATCACGTCCAGCAAGTTAAACAATTGGTGCTTGAAAATCGTCGATTGACCATTAGAGACCTTACGGATAGTTTGGGCATATCATTTGGATCGGTGCAGGCGATTTTGAGTGATCAATTGGGCTTGAAAAGAGTCAAATCTCGATTGGTGCTAAAAACGCTCAATTTTTTCGAGAAAGAGCGTCGTGTTAGTATTTATGAAACGATGCTTTCTGACTATCAGGACGTGGTTAAACGCATCATAACAGGAGATGAGACTTGGATCTACGCTTACGACCCCAAAACAGCCGACCAATCGAGTAAATATCGTGTAAAAGGCGAGCCCAAACCGAAAAAACCACGTCAAAGTCGCTCAAAAATCAAAGTCATGTTGACGGTTTTCTTCGATTATCGTGGTGTTGTGCACTCGGAATTCCTTCCGCCGTGTCAAACTGTCAACAAGGTGTATTATTTGAGTGTTATGCGTCGTTTGCGTGAAGCTATTCGCAAAAACAGGTCGGATTTATGGAAAGACAACTCGTGGTTTATGCATCACGATAATGCGCCATCTCACACAGCACTGGTTCTTCGCGAGCATTTCGCCAAAAATTCAACAAATATCGTTCCACAACCACCGTATTCACCTGATCTGGCCCCGTGTGACTTCTGGCTATTCAGTAAACTCAAGAGACCGCTCCGGGGACACCGTTTTGACTCGATTGAGGAGATAAAAGCCGAATCGCAGAAATCTCTGAAGGCCATTCCAAAGAAGGACTTTTCGGACTGTTTTGATGAGTGGAAAATTCGTTGGCATAAGTGTATAGCCGCAGAAGGGGATTACTTTGAAGGCGATGATATGGATTTGAAAGAATAAATAAAACTTTTCGAAATATAAAAAAATTCACCTTTCAATTTGATCACAGAGTACGTTTTGAAAACGTGTACGTGTATTCCAAGTCGTTGCAACAACTAAAGTATCAATATCTGGAGAATGTACTTTCATTAGTAGATGAAATCGGTTACTTTACCTTTTCTAATAATAGCAATGTGATTCCACCGAGTAAAGCACTTCCAAATTCTATTTTTAATTTTGATGATGTGGCATGTGACAAGCAAGATACGATACGAGAATACTGTGCAATGGGTCGTCACTCAAGTATCGACTGTTTTTATCTTTGTCAGACGTACGCGAGGATACCAAAGTATCTTATACGTGACAACGCAAATCTGATAATTCTGTTTAAACAAGATGGTACCAATCTCAAACATGTGTACAACGATCATGTAAACACGGATATGTCGTACGAGAAGTTTTGTACATTATGTCGCAAATGTTGGCAAAACAAATATGGATTTTTAGTGATCGACAAGGATAGTCCTTTGAACAGAAGTCGCTATAGAAAAGGATTTCACGAGTTCGTGATACCAGCGAGTGGTTAATCATTGTTGAGACATCAACCAAGTATTGTCTTTCCTACAGTGCAACATGGCATCACCTAACAAAAGCAGTGAAATTATAGATCGCGAGAAAGTAGCGAAGGAGATTGCAAAAACGAGTCAATCTTAGAAGAAGAAATTGCATTGGAAAGACAATTCAAACTTATTATCGAACCTCTAAAACAGATTGCTGAAAATACGGAAACTAAGCAAAAGACGTCGGATACATTGTTTCTCGAAGACACATCACACGAGACGAAGCGGAAACGAACACAGACATCGAACGAAACACTGTCCCCTACTTTACGCAATTCAAAGCGCACACGATATAACACTGCAATGGCGACTTCTACTCCGACGAAAGAACAAACCGAACAACAATTGACATGGGATTCTCCATCAATTGACAATATCGTCGCTACTGATGCTGCTACCAACGAATCGTTTGAGTCAACTATTCAACGTCAAATGCAAACGTTGGAGGATCTTGAAATGTTTCAAAATCATTTTGGTCCGTTGGCGCAACAATATATGAAAGCCATCCTGAGTGGTAAGAAAGAGAACGACATAGACTACGTATATAGTGTGTATTTCGACAACGATGGAATGATGCTCGGTGATAAGTTTTGACGTGGATGAACAGGATAATATAATCATAGATAATATACAATTCAAAGCAACACAAGGATTGTACAAATTCATTTTCATGAAATGTCCAAAAAGCGAGTTATATACCGAAGAAGATAAACAACGATACAAAAAGATAATGGAAATATACTCATAGAAAACATCACAATAAGCTCGGTGCAATACTAAGTAACAAAAGATACAAATACAGATACATAATTGCACCTTTACTATCCAATGTGCGTACTAAACAGGGGAAAGGTATGCCGCTTAATATGATGCTAAGCAATCGTAAGATCGAATACGCGCACTGGGACGATCCCAATGACCTTGTCGACCGTCTGCGGTTGCTAGACGCATCCCGTCAGGCAGGTAATAATGCTCACAACAACGAAATTTTCTCGATCATCGAGGAACTGCGCGAAGCGGGATTCATTATAAATTAATTAGCGCGTCTGCGTTAGAGTCAGTCGTGTGCGCGTCATCATGCCAATCAACAAATTTGGGATATCGCTCGGAACACATGGAGCGTCGATGTATTATTATGAGAGAGAAGCAATACTGCGAAATTACGTGCGTAATAACGCTCTCTGCTTTGTCGGTTCCGGCTACGATGCAAGGTCGCGTAAGATATTACATGTAGCGCAATCTGATACCGACACTGACGCCGCCAACAAACAATATGTAGATATGTGTGTTACGAGTGTGAATGAATGGCAAGAGACACGTGAGAGAAAAATTATCGCATTGCAACAAGACGTGCAAGCGTTGCGCGACGCTATAAAACACATTCAGCGTACACTTCAATATCTATCAAAC